ATCTTAAGTAGATCGACCCCCCCCCCCCCCCCGGTCCCTATTCATGGGTGGCTGGTAACGGCTGATATTGATAGCCTCTCTTGTCTTGCGTGGGATGGGAAATGGATGGCCAGTCCGAAAGTATTTCAGCTTGTGTTTGATAATTACATGTGTATCATATAAAATCTAACTAACAAGCTAATGAAATTTTTTATCACGGTCACAGGATCACGACAAAAAGTCTGGTACTATTCTCTTATTATCTTTATGTTTTTGAAATATTTGATTAACTGAGGGGGGGGGGTCCCATGGCTTGTTGTTCTAACATAACAGCCTGTTCTGTTTTTCCTGGATTTCACAAAAACTGCTGCACAGTGTTTAGAGTACATAAAATCAATAATTTGTTCTTATTTGGAATAAGGCAAATTCATTTCTAATTAACAAGATTTTAAGTAATTTTGAAAAATAACATTAAACAAGGCCAATGAGTTCTGGGATGTGCTAAGGGGTTCCTGGTGAGCCGAATGCCCCATGGCTATAGTATTTAAATTTGCCGCAGACTGTATTCAAAAAAGCATGAGTGAGAAGGAATTTCTCCTGGCTAAATTCACGTTGTACTAGTTGAAATCCGTTATCCCTTGCGAGCCAATGAAAAATGATGTAGGAGCCTTTTTCGCTAATAATGTATGACGTCACTGTTCGAATATCGACCGTTAGCATAAAAGCACAGAGCCCTCTTTTTTTGCTTAGAAAATAGAAGGGATTGAATTTCGTTTCAAAATACTGCAAACTTTTTTTATACTAAAGACGCAAATGAAAATGTGGACGGTAGTTTCGCCAACTTATTTATTAGCATTTTGATAAATAGCACTGAGTCTTCTATAATAGTACGAATAGGTAGATTCAAAATGTTATTCGACCAGAATATCTGTATTATTGGAAATACCGAGGAGATTTATAATGTTGGAAGCGTACTCGAATGTTCAAATGCCTGTTTGTCCAATCCAAGATGCCAGTCCTTTAACTTGATACAAGTTGGTGTGGAGAAATTCCATTGTGAACAAGAAAAACATCAGGCATTAAAACATTTTCTAAAATACATTTTAAAGACATTTTCATTTTTAAGAACTGTAATATTTATTGTGACATCACCTTCATCTTTCTTTTGTGTTTGTATTTATGAAGATTTATGTTAGTACATTTGTGTTGTTTTTCGAAATGTATGTAGAAAAAAGTACTGAACTTTACTCAAACTATTTTTTCCAGTGAAAATAACTCGTATTTCTGGGCTCAGTACAGTTCCTTCAGAATTGACGACGAAGCTCGTAACTACAGATTACAAATTGATGGAGATTTTTCTGGAAACGTCACTGATTTACTGACTAACGGCTCCAAAAATCCATCCAAGTGGACAGCGAACAGGATGGCATTCACCACGTTCGATCGTGACAATGATGAGAATCCTAATGGTAACTACGCAGTTATTTATAGTAGTGGTTGGTGGATGAATTGGTGTGGTAGTGCCGTGCTGAACACACCTCTACACTATCTACGTTGGGGTACTCCTTCTAATACACCTTTGAGGCTTAACTATACGGTGATGCAAATTAAGCCCAACCCAAGTGAAAACTGACTCTCAGAACTAACATGTTCGGTCCCAGTGATGAACTTTACGAGTCACAGTTGAAAGATATATTTCAAAGACATAAAAGACTTTTATGTTAAAAAACAGCCTTACCTTTCAGTGAAAAAAAAAACGGTAACTTGTTATCTACATTTGTTCAATTCAATTACTTTGTACCAGACAGATATATCGTTTAAAAAGAGGTGGACAAGGAGATATCTTACAATTCACAAAATTTATTCTGTCAAATAAACGCTGTAAGAATATATATATATATTCATCTCAACAAGTTAACACAGGGATAAAACGACTGATTACTTCATTATTTCACCCACACAATTTGATTTAAAAAAACTGAAAAACTAATGTACATCTTCAGTCCTTATTTTCCAAAAATAGATCTAACAGAGTAAATCAAGTCGCTCTTCACAAAATTCACGTACTCCGCTCGGTGGTAACAAGACATATTGTACCAGTCACCTTTTTGTCAGCATGCATAAATATTTGCCTCACCTGTAAAAGGGCAATTCATTTCCTGATGGATTATTTGGTTTTTTATTACATTTGTCTCTCATTTTTCAACAATACTGCATATGAATACAATAGTGGAACTTATAATTTATTTGCACCCCTCACACAAACAAACACACACACACACACACACACACACACACACATTCACACAAACACCCAGTGAATAAAGACGATTGGAGTGTGCACATTATCAAGTCGCCAATAAGAAATCCGTGTGCTTTAAGCCGTTCAAGCTGCTTACACTCTAGCCCTTAAATTCTAGTTTCAGGCTTTCTTCACGCTATATATGGTTACACACTGTAATTTTTATAATGAAATTTTGGGCGAATAATCATTCCTGGGATGAATTAAACCGAAATAAATTTACCCATCTCCTTTGGTGGTTTCGCTTTGGTGTATGCCCTACTTGTGAGGAGTTATCTAAAACTATTATAAAGATTTTATTCTAAATAAACCGCAAGATATGGCACTCTGTTTAAAGAATAGGTTTAGTTCAGTGAATCAGTATTATCCAGGCCCCTAGACATAAATATGTACAAAACGTACCATAAATCACTACTTTACTGCTGTTACTACTGTGTTTTCATATATCTTATTGTGTTTGCTCTTTGTTTAACCAATAACTTTACTTAATTATAAGGTTTTGATAAATATACAAAGTACGGTGACTTATAGCCCCGGATGGACGGTTGATTTGTATACTCGTATTCTTCACATGTCACATAATAAAAAAATATAACTACATCATGGAAGTGATATACAATTAATCCTCAGTCTTAAATTCAAATTTTTAATTAAGGCTGAGACGCCAAAATTAGAAACCAAAGTCTCTTCAAAGTAATGAATTTTAATGATAAATGTCCACCCATTTAACAATACTAATAATGCCCTAGAACCATTTATAATTGTCTTACAAATATTTTTTTCATGATTGACAAAAGGTCGGTTTTGAACTGATTCATCCATAATCATGCTTTGTCGCAGTTCTGTGATCGAGGGAGAGATGTTATATAGATTATATACAGTTCATTTGTGATCTGATCAAATGCCTTCAATGACATAATGTAAATGCCTGTTAGTTTAATATGGCATAACTGTTTCAAATAAGAAAAAAATGTTTGGATTTTTCACAAGTTTATGTACTATAAACACAGTTGTTTTTATGAAATCTAGGAAAAACAGAACATTTTTTTTTGCCACAAATGCACTCAAACAGATTGCCCGGATGGGCATGGTGCGGTGGTAATATGATTTTTAAAGGCAATGTACTGGATGACATAACACGCATCAAAGCTTAATTGGAGAGATACTGTTGATTTAAGAAAAGCTTACAGGCTTAAATTATTATCCAAAAATGGTAAATATTTTCATTTCTGAATTGAAACTATTACGGCTGCTTAATACGCTAGTTCCCTGTCTTTTTGCATCTGACGTTAAAATGCACATAATACAACATTGGTCAAAAAGGTTGTCCCACCCCCAGTTTCATGTGCTTTTATTTATAAATGATCACATCACAGGAGTTAATTGCTATGAATGGTGATTTTCATTCCAGATACCATAACTAACATGATTAGTGCTACAGAAAACACAAACTAGCGGTGAATTTATCCATATTTAATGCCATTTATTCACATTAAACACATGTACCCCCTTAAATCGGGCGTTTCACTGTGATTTTCACAGAGGCAAAGAAATGTCCATTATATTGAAAAGACACCACCAAATGTCACCAATTTTACACACATTTAACTTTAAGGTGTGTTCGTTAAAGGTCACGTGTCTAATAGCGTTTGTGTCTACCGCGTGAATTTAAACTATTACGGCTGCTTAATACGCTAGTTCCCTGTCTTTTTGCATCTGACGTTAAAATGCACATAATACAACATTGGTCAAAAAAACTACTTATTACAACTTAAACTACTTAAACTATTTATTACAAATTTCACCGGTGAGGTGATCATTTATAAAGAAAAGCTGGGTGTGGGACAACCTTTTTGACCAATGTTGTATATAGTTTGTTCAGTAGAATTGCAACTCAAAGATTTTAGTTGTGCAATTAATATGTTAAAAGAGAGCAAATCAACTTGGAGAAAGTCTTATAAACTAAGATTGTTCTTCATTAATACTCTAAAAGACACTTTAGTTTAAAAATAATCATTCCTAAAAATGTTTTAGAAACGTAAAGAGAAGTCAATTTTTTTTACATAACAAGTTTTTAAGTATTTCTGCAAAATAAGATTAGACCAATGAGTTCTAGTTTGTGCACAGGGATTCCTAGGGCCTAGTGACCCGAATCCCCATACCCGTAAGCACTTAATTTTGCCACTGTATTAAAAAAGCATGATAAAGTAGACCTTTCCTCTGACTAAATGCACTATACTCTACAGTAGTTGAATTTCCTAATTCCATGAAAAATGATGTTATACTCTTTCTCGTTATTAATGTAGGACGTCACTGCTCTAATATCGACCGTCAGCATAAAACACGGAGCTCTCTGTTTCTGCCTGAAAATACTTGTAAATCGGGATTAAAGTTCGTTTCAAAATAATTCAGAATTTCTTATAGGGGCCTACTGAAACGTCAGACACAAAATGAAAATGTGGATTATTTCGCCAATCTTATATATTAACATTTTGATAAATGGCTTTGCATCCTCAAAAAATTTACGAATGGGTAAATTTGAAAGGTTATTCGAACAGAATCTCTGTATTATTGGAAATACCGAGAAGATTTATAATGTTGGAAGCGTAGGTGAATGTTCCAATGTCTGTTTGTCCAATTCAAGATGTCAGTCCTTTAACTGGATACAAGTTGGTGTGGAGAAATTCCGTTGTGAACTGATCAGCGAAGACCCAGAGAGATGTGGGAGCACCACTATGATGACGCCTGGGTGCCAGAGTTACAGAAAAGTAAGTGAGACAGAAAACTAAAGAAAGAAAGACAAAGTTTCTATGTTATAGAAAAAAGTTTATTTATCATTTTGTCGTCAATGTACTTACATATACAAATATGCCATTGAAAGGAAATGCGGAAAGAGTTTTGTACAGGTCAAAAAGGGAATGTTTTCTTTAGATCAATGCTTTAGTATTTCAGGTCGTTTGCCACTTCTTACGCTTCGTCTAATTTGATGTATATTCAGTTCAATTCAATATTGTTCACTTATACTTGGTATGCGTTCTAGGTAGCTTTCAAAGTGAACGTATCGGGGAAAGGGGCGTTTCGTGGTAAGTGAACATTTTTAAAGTACTGAAGCGTACTTGAGTTCAATAAAATACAACTGTAGTCCTGTGTAGTATGTGCTGTTTGTTTGCCCCGTGTAACTACCTGTATCAAGGGATTTTTGTCTTTTAGAGGCAAATAAATCTAGTAGACAGTATGAGTTCTGAAACAATGACACCGTTTTTATTTGCAATAATTCTTTCATACAACTACCATTATATACATACAATTGAATTCATATATATACAAACTTGGCATTTTATATGGAATATTCAGTTTTAAAGTTATGCCTATAGGTAAAATGCGGTCTTAAAAAAAAAACTCAGATCTCATATAAGATATGTGAATGGGGAAGTGTGTATTCGGGTTTTCTGCTACCAATAAAGTGAATACCGTATCTGTTGCATTGTGTACTATGTAGTGATTTAAATGGGTAGTTCTCCTTTTTGGGTTGGTCAAAGCTTTGCTTTAACGAAGCATGGGTCTGTCAAAATTATGCAAATGTTGGCAACTACTTCACAGGAGAATTTGAAATTTTGCATCCAAGCAGTCGGTTGCAGTGAGTTAAATGAGTTAAGCAGTGTTTTACAAAATTGTTAATCTGTGCCAGAATGGCGCGAAAAAGACTGGCAATGCCCGACAGATTATCGTGTCACACGGGACGGTTCGCAATTTAATAGAGTTGTGCCCAAACGGTTGTACCTACACAGAGGCCACACCCAGTGTATTGAAATCTTACCGCCACTGTACAGGAATCACTGCCCCTCCGGATATGCTGCTGCAGTTAAACAACACCACCCAGTCCGTTCAGAATGAGAGACAAAATGCCACCAGAACGCATTTTTTTCAAGACCCTTAGTGACAAAACTAGTTTTAGCAGGTTAGAATACCAGACGACCTCTGAGGAAGCCACTGTAAACAGCAAAACATCGTCGCCTGTTTCTCTAATGAATTGCTGACCATGGCCGTTTCTGGGTAGAACACTGAAACCGCACGGCTTTTTTTATTGAGGTCGGATTTTAACTGTTCCGCTCGACTAGTCAAAACAGAGTTTAAAGACAACCTTAAGAGGCCTACGACGACGCGTGTGTCACGTCTAAAGTGACTAGGGTCATTGACGGCGTCCACATTTGGAGTGGGTACCACACTGGTACCAAAACACCAATGGTAGTCATCGATGAAAACCTGAACCACAGCAAATAAAGGAATAATCTGGGAACCACTTGACTATGATTTGATAGGGAGCACCTTAGGAACAATTTAAGGTTGCACGAGGAGATTGCCGATTTACATAGATTACTTTAAATAGCAGATAACTTACAGTCCCAAGGGAATGAGCAGCTCCCTTAGTCATCAAAATCGCCATATTTGAACCGCATAGACAATATATGGATAGGTGAGTACACGCCGAATCAACGGCCTACACGTCCTACAACAATCGGAACTAAATTAGACAAGTTTTAACCGATGCCTAGTATGTTGTTCTAGATTAAACTCTAAAAAATTATCCCAAGGAATGCCTTGCGGCTTGAGGGCCGTGGTAGCAGCCAGATAAGGCCAGGCGATAAAGGGACCGTTGCTGTGACTAGACATAAGGGTCCTTTATAGGGCGTGTAACTCCTTAACATATTATTTGGAAAATATGGAGATCCAAAATATTGCTTTTAATGGTTGTTGCATGACTTAGAATAGGCAATGTATTTTTGTTTGCTTCAGTTAATGAACTGATGCCACAATGTAATCAAAGAGATAATAAAAAGTTATCAAAACACGATTTTAATCCTTATTTTTTATTTATCAGTTAGCAAAATAGGAAAAATCGATGAAAAATGATTTGATTTGATTTGCATTATAAATATCCTCCATATTTAATGGCAAGTCTGTACATAACATTTCTTGTTCCTCTTGTTCCTCTGAACAGATGTAGAAATAGTAATTCATTTATTTATTTATATTAATATTTTGTATATTTATTTGATTTATTTTCATTTTAGAAAAAAATATTATCGTTTCCATTATACTGTTTTGTATAAAATTGTTTCCCCTCCGTTCCAAATAGATTGCTCAGAGATCTATACATCTGGGTTGACATCTCCAGGAGTGTATAACATCCAAACAGATGGCGCCACTACAACCTTCCTTGCTTACTGTAAGGAGGGCTGGACAGTCATTCAGAGAAATTTGGGAGATGCCGATTTCAATAGAAGTGACGCTGAATGTTTGAATCCACTTTCTTTTTTTTATTGTTTAAGACGTGTGTTTAGGACGTGTGTGTCCGTTTGCTTGTTTAAAACATATAAGTACCTTACGCGTATGTTATATTCAAAAGGTGTCAAATGTACATGAAAAATAATAATGATATTCTATACCGCAGCCTGAACCGTAAGGCTTTAGAAAACGCTGATGTTTTCGGATTTTTTATGTATTTCGTACATTTTAGATTGGAAAGGATATAAAGAGGGATTTGGATGTCTTACAAAAAGTTTCTGGCTGGGAAATGACGCAATCTATCGCCTTACTAAACAGTCCACTTATAGCTTGCGTATAGAAATGATGGGCACCGGGTAAGAGAACACACACACACACACACACACACACACACACACACACAAATGTATATATACATATACATATATATATATATATATATATATATCACATTAGAAAATGCATACAAAAGCAATGGTTGTAAGCGCACAGTTTACCTACAGTTACCCGTTTAAACACAGTTATAAGAATAGTTTGGACTGAGTAACATTTAATATTTCTTTAGTGTGTGTATTAATTGGGTTTCATTTTGGTAGATTTATTTTTTTCTCGAAATCTTTTTCTCGAAATTAACCTTACTGAAATTCCTTTTTTTAGTGAATCGAACTCGTATTTTTGGGCTCAGCACAGTTCCTTCAGAATTGACGACGAAGCTCGTAACTACAGCTTACAACTCGATGGGGATTTTTCTGGAAACGTTATTGATTTACTGACTAACATCTACCAAAATAAACCTGAGTGGACAGCGAACAGGATGGCATTCAGCACATTTGATCGTGACAACGATAAGTGGCCTGACGGTAACTGCGCAACTGGCTTCAATGCTGGTTGGTGGATGAATTGGTGTGGTAGCGCCGCGCTCAACAGACCTAAACAATTTCTACAATGGGGTGTGGCTCCTTATAATACACCTTTGTGGCTTAACTATACGGTGATGCAAATTAAGCCCGACACAGCCGAACCTTGACTCTACTGCTAACATGTTTTGTCCCATCCATTTAATATACGAGTCACAGTTGAAAAATATATTAGTCGTAAAAGGTTTTTAAGCTAAAAAAAACAACCATACTTTTCTTTTCTACATGGTTAAAATTACTCGTAATCTGTTTTTGTTCATTTAGCGCAATTCAATTGATTTTCAGTTTTGTATAAAAAGAGGTGGACAAGAAACAGTCGAAAGGGTTATCTCGAGTTGCCGTACTATGTTGTCAAACCAATGCTGTGAGTGAATATTTTCATTTGAACAAATAAACACAGTGATTAAACGACTTGTTACTGTATACCCTTTTACCCCCACGAATTTGATTAAATAAATGACATTTTATTTCTTTACAATGTCGATCTAACATAGTAAATCAAGTCGGGGGTTACAAGACTTTTTGTACCAGTCACCTATTTGTCACCCATACATACAGTAAATATTTCTCTCACCTGTAAACATGCAGTTCATCTCCCATTGCATTATTCGTGTATTTCATTTCGCTTTCATTTTTCAACTGTTCTGAATACGGCTTTTTTTATACCGAACGTAAACCATACCTGAAATGAATGAACCTAAAGTAAATTGTAAATTTACCCATTTCCTTTGGTGGTTTCGCTTTGGTGTATGTTGGTGTATGTCCTGCTTGTCAGGAGTTACCTAAAACACTGATTGATGCAATTCAAAATAAACATCAGAATATGGCACTCTTTACAAAGAAAAGGTTTAGTTTGAGAGAATCACTATTATCCAGCCCCCTATGTTGTGAACCGTCCAAAATGACTTTCAGTTTAATTAATAATTGTATTGAATTTCAGTGTAACAACTTCCATTAACGAATTAGCTAATCTATGGGCGCCGACATGACTCCAGAGCCGACTCAGTCTTTCACTTTACGTGCACAGAGATGTATATATAGATGTTAACATGTTGACTGCTTTGATTATACAATGTGGAATTGATGCAGGATTCGACATCTAGATATAATTATGTGCAAAACGTACTACAAACCACTACTTTTCCGCTGTTACTACTGTATTATCATAAATCTCATTGCGTTTGCTCTTGGTTTAACTAATAACTTTAATTATGAGGCTTTGATGAATGTACAAAGTACGGTGACTTATAGGCCCAGGAGGCCGAGTGATTTGTATACTTGTATTCTTCACATTCCACGTAATTAATAAATACTACTACAGCATGAAAGTGGTATACAATTTATCTTCACTCCCAGATTCAAATCTTAATCAAGGAAGAGAAGCCAAACTTAGAAACCAAAGCCTCAATATGATAAATGTCCACCCATTTTATAATAATATTAAGGTCCTAGAGCAATTTGTAAGTGTCTTGTTAATATTTTTCATGATTGACAAGAGGCCAGTTAAATATGGCAACTACGTTTAAAATGGGTAAACTATTTTGTCCGGTGTGGCGAAGATCGTATTGACATTAATCATGCTTTGTCGCAGTTCTTTGATAGAGGGACAGATGTTTTAAAGATACACCTGCGGTCAATTTGTGATCTGATCAAATGCCTTCAATGACATAATAAATGGTTGTTAGTGTAATATGGATTAACTGTTCCAAATGGTTGGATTTTTTCACAAGTATATGTACTGTAACACTTATGCATAAGAGCTTTTATGAGTCCAGGAAAAACAAAACAAACCTTTTTTTGCCAAAAATGCGCTCAAGTGATTATCGAACGCGCTGTCTGAATAGATCATGAAGCGGTGGTAATGAAACAATCGAAGACAACGACCTGGATGACATAACACGCACCAAGGCTGAAATGCGTCGAATTAGAAAAAGATTGCAGAGTTTGGTAAAGCTTACAAGCGTAAATCGTTATCCAAATCATTGGTCATTATTTTCATTTCTGAAACGAAATTATAACGGATGCTAAATACACTAGTCTCCTGTATTACGAAAATTTGTTCTGTAATTAGATTGGTGTTGTAAAAGAGGGGATGATGTTAGCGTCTAACGTTAAAATACACGTTGCACGTTGGGTTCAAGCTGTTTTAAAAGGCAAGGACGTCTTTTTATCCAGTTGTTGCTTGACCTTGTAGACTGGCGTCCAGACATTAAACCTGCAGTATGTCAACTAAATGGTCAATATTTGCAGTAAATACAGAATATCGTTAGCATATGTTCACCTGCGTGTGGTATTTAAGATGAACAAATTAATTTTAAATTTTATATTTTTACTCTTTTGTACATTTTTTCAATGCTAACAACGAGGCTATCGCTTTACTCAACAGTCCACTTAACGTTTGCGTATAGAAATGATGGGCAATGAGTTACTTCATGGTACTGACTTACAGCTCCAAAAATCCACCCGTGTGGACAGTGAACAGAACGGCATTCACCACGTTCGGTAGGGCAATGATGAGAACCCTGATGGCAGCTGCGCAATTGGTTTTAATGGACGGTTGTTGGATGAATCAGTGTAGTAGTGTCGTGATTAACGGTGGTCTACAATAGAGTGTAGTTCCTTTTAATTCACTTTTGCTGCTATACGGTAATGAAAATTAAGCCTGACTAACATGTTCGGTCCCAGCGATGAACTTTACGAGTCACAGTTGAAAGATATATTTCAAAGACGTAAAAGACTTTTAAGTTAAAAAAACAGCCATACCTTTCTGTGCAAAAAACGGTTACTCATTATCTACATTTTATGAATTAGTTCGCGCCAAACACACATAGAGGTGGACAAGGAACAAGATAACTTAGACCTGACTAAATGTATGCTGTCAAAACAACGCTGTAAGAATATATATTCATCTGAACAAGTAAAGAGAGGGAGAAAACGACTGATTACTTCATTATTTCACCCCAACAATTTGATTTAAAAAAAAAACTGAAAATCTAAGGTAATCTTTAGTGTTTATTTTCCAACAATATAGATCTAACAGAGTAAATCAAGTCGCTCTTCACAAAATGCTCCTCTCGGTGGTAACAAGACATATTGTACCAGTCACCTTTTTGTCATTATACATAAATATTTGTCTCAC